CAGGCCTGGGTTGTGGTCTCGACCCCAGTAGGGGGTGTGCAGGAGGCAGCGGATCAATGCTTCTCATCGCTGATTTCTCTCTCTCTCTCTCTCTCTCTCTCTCTCTCTCTCTCTCTCTCTCTCTCTCTCACTCTCTCTCTCTCTCTCTCTCTCCCCTCCCCCTTTATCTCTGAAATCAATAAAAATATTTTTAAAAGATTGTATCTATTTAGGCTGCACAACATGATTTTTTAAAAAGTGTGTATAACAAGGGATTAGGAGGAGGGGAAAACCGAAAAGGTTACAAACCCACTGAGAGCAGGTAACACCCTCCTGACGGAAAAGTGAAAGAGCCCATTTGCTCAGAAGAAAATGCCTCCCTGGGAGTTCGCACCTCACCACGTCAATTATCTCCTCTTTTTCAGACTTACGAAGAAGCTGAACAGTTGTGTGTAGAACAGGCAAGAATTTCAATAATGAGCGTGCCGGATGAGAGGACAAAGATAGCATAAAAACAAAGATAGCTGAGGGAGATTCCACACCCAGAAAATAACTACCCTTGTTTCCTGCGTCACCTCTACTCTACTGGGGGATGTTGAGCACCCACCCATTCAGGTAGGTTCAGTAGAGCCATCACATGGACGATTCTTCAGCACAAGAGTACCCATTCTTTAGTGAGGTGCCTCGATGGATTGTTTTGTTACCTTTCTGATCTTTGTTTTCTGAATTGAGATATCATTCACATGCCATAAAAGCTACCCTTTAAAAGTGCACAATTCAGTGGTGTTTAGTGTATCCACAAGATTGTGCAACCATCACCATTCCAGTACATTTTCATCACCCCAAAGAGGAACCCTGTACTCATTAGCATCACTTCCCATTATCCCCTGTCCCCAGATACTGTCAACCGCCATCCTACTTTGTTTCTGTAGATTTACCTATTCTGGATATTTCATGTAAATGGAAGCATATAATATGCGGCCCTTTTTGTCTGGCTTTGATTACTTAGTATAGTCATGGATGTTCCTCTGTGCTATAGCATGCATCAGTATTCCTTTCTATGGCTGAATAACATTCTATTATATGTATCGAAGGGGTTCAGAATAGACCTCCCCAAGATGTGCCTCTTTGGCAGGCATAGCCAAAGACAATCAAGACTTTGTGGGCTCATGAGAAAGTTTTACTCTTCTTTAAAGAATTTAAATTTGGTGCCTTGCCCACAAAAAGAGTTATTACCCAAAAAAACTTTGGTATTTGGACAAGCATATAATTACTGAACATATTGCTCTTTTTATCCTCCTGCGAATGGCCTTCCTCCCCTCTGAAGCCCCTAAGGTGCCCCCTCATTCTTAGCTTGTGTGTACCTCTGTCTCAGAACCTCTCATGTATGTGGGGCTCTCTGACTCATGTATGTGGGGTTCCCATACATATGTAATTAATTTTGGTTATTTTCTCTTGTTACTCTGTCTCATGTTGATTTAATTATTAAACCAGCCAGGAGAACCTAGAAGGGTAAAAGAAATTTTCTGACTCCCCCACAGTATATTCCACAATTTGTTTATTCATTCATCTGTTGATGAACATTTGGGCTGTTTCCAGGCTTGGGCAGTTATGAATAACGCTGCTATGAATGTTCGTGTATAAGTTCTTATGTGGGCATATGTTTTCATTTCTCTTGGGTAGATAGCTAGGAGTAGAATTGCTGGGTCAAATTGCAACTAACACTAAGTTTAACTTCTTGAAACTTTTCTTCCATAGCGGCCACACCGTTTTACATTCCTACCAGCATTGCTCGAGGGTTCCAATTTCTCCACAGACTAGTCAGCACTTGTTATTATCTATTTTTGATTATAGTCATCCCAGTGGGTATGACACGGTATCTCATTGTGTTTTGTCACTTAAAAAGAATCAGAGCCATCCATATATACAATTTAAAAAGATAAGACTTAAAGTATAAATGTTCCATCTTTCTCCACAACCATTTTCACTAGGCAAATACTTTAAATTCTTTTAGCGGTTTCTTCTGGTGTTAATCTTCTATTTCTGGTAATGTGCATTATACCGCTATTTTGAAAACCAGTTTTAGATATTATCTCTTGAATTCTAACTATGAAAGATGAGCATTTAGTTCTCTTATAATCACCCATGTGCACATAAACACACACTCACTTTTTCTTTCAATCTTCACAATATGATTATAATATCCATTTTTAGTTAAATCAATAATTGGAACTTATACTGTTAAGACTATGAATTAATATCATATTGTAAACTAAGATTTGCTTAATCATACTTTTCCCCTTAGACTCCAGATGACCTAGAGGAAAAAATGAAAAATTTCCTCAGTTTTCTACATAGTAACTTACTAGTTCATCCTCAAATTCTGGGCATATTCAAATATATGGATATTTCACTATTTCTTTCTTTTCCTTTTTTTTTCTTTTTCTTTTCCGAGAGACATTGCTCCGAGGGCCCACATCTGGACTGAATGGCTCTGAGCTCGCTGCACAGCAGCTTCCTGGAACTTTCCTTCACTATCCTTGTCTGCACTCCTCTCCTATGGTGCATTGCCTGTTTCTAGATCCCATATCTTTCACTCTTAGTTTATAAGAGCTTGTCTTCCAGTAGCTTCTTCATTCCTCTGTTTCTGTTTTACTGCATCTTTTGTGTTAGACATTTTCTAGTGTACCATTTCGACTTTCTTATTTATTTTAGTGTGTTTTTATTTTTTTAGTTCTTGTCCTAGCGAATGCATTGGTGATTCCAATTAACACCTTGACTTAAAATAATCCAGTTATTACTAAACTAGAGGCCCAGTGCACAGATTTGTGCACTGGTGGGGTCCCTAGGCCTGACCAGTGCCCTCTTGCAATCCAGAACCCCCTTGGGGGATGTTGGACTGCTGGTTTCGGCCCAATCCCTACAGGCCAGGCTGAGGGAACCCACCAGTGTACGAATCATGCACTGGGCCTCTAGTATGCATATAAGCTCTTTGTTTAATCTCTTCCCGCCCTCTCCTCTGCCCCCTTCCCTCTGAGATTCATCAGTCTGTTCCATGTTTCCATGCCTGTGCATTGAGCCTCTGCCCCCTGGTGGTCAGTGGGTGTCATAGCTACTGGTTGAATGGTTCCTTAGGCTTTTTATATATATAAAGATACCAACCTAATTCTGATAGCATACAGAGTTGTTTATGGATGCTTTCACGCTACCAAGGCATAAAAGTTGTGTAGTTGAGACAGAGCACATGTATGTGCCTGTGAAACCTCTAACTTTACTATCCGGCCCTTTATAGGAAAGACTTGTTGATCCTGATCCAGTGCCCTGACCTTCCTGACCCCATTTTCTATCTCCTGCCTCCAAGCATTAAGCAATCTGTTTCTCCTCCGAACTTTCCCTGAGTGTCACCTTTGAACTCTCCCTGTATTTCAACTTTGAACTCTCACTGTTTCACCTTTCCAAAGCCTAAAAATTAACTGGGAACGCTAAGAAACCAAATGCAAGGGCACAAAACAAGGCGAAAACTTCCCTCATGCCCATCACTGTATTTAAGATGTTCAAAGTTGTCGTCTGTCGTGATCTATGCAATCCCATCCTTCAACAGGAAGTTACTCTGAGGGTTATTACTATTGATTTGAATCTGAACATTTCCCAGGTGGTTTCTTCGTCATTCAAGCAGTGCACTTCCATATGAGTGTTCTGTGGTAGCCAGCATCCACTTCCTATCCTCTGGTTTTTGTTTGACCAGCATCCACTTCCTATCCTCTGATAAGAGTTCTTTGATTTTTATGTGACACCAGAGGTGGGGATGTGATGGTGGGTGCAGTGTGGGCAGGAAGCTTCCAGGGGCCCTCACTGGAGGGGGCCAGCCTGAGCTCAAAGCCCACCGCCAGGCGAGCAGAGCTGACAGGAGAGAGCGAGCGAGTGCCATGACTCGGGTTAGCCTCTGCATTCTGCCATACCCTTGAACTTCCTAATTCTGTGCACCCAGTACATCCCCTTTTCTGTGTAGGCCCCTCTGAGCTGTGCTTCTGGTGCTGGTGAGCAAAAGGAGTCCTGACTGACACGGACTCCACTGCTGGGGGCCTACAGAGGGCCAGCGTCTTCCAGGGACCCTTCATCTCATGCTTAGCAAGAGAGGGAAAGACACTCCTGCTTTAGCTCAGGACTGGGGATAGTTGTAGTCTGTTGCAGGATCAGTTTCAGAACTAATAAGAAACCTTCCCTGTCTGTCCTGACAAAACAGGAAAAAAAGCTAATGGATTCACAAGTGATTTCACAGGAAGAGAAGACAGTGCCACGTACAATCTGTCAAATGCCCGATGGAGCACATTTAATAAGACAATGACAAGTAGCTTCATGTTCTAAAAGCATGCCTTGCACTTACTAGTTTTCAAAGCATGTTCGTATCTAAAACTTCCATCAGATCCTCTTAGGCTTCTTTTTTCATAAATGACCCATATTTTAAATGCTTTTTCAAGTATAAAAACCAAAACATGTTTTGTGAATAATTACACAGCAGTGTCTTATAAATAAAAATTCTACCCATTTTCTTCTTCCTCTTGTTTCATGTTCCTGACATGTGCTTACTTTTCTAGCCAGCTCTTCTGAATTCTAGGCCATAAAGAGAACCTTTATATTTCCCCAGCTTTAGAGGAACCCTGAGCCTTTTTTCTGACTTGTTTCTTTTCATCCCTGCCCTGTAGCTAGCCGTGACTTGTCCACCTACCCCACTTGTCCTTACCATAGCGCCTTGCACACGAAGTGTAGGGGAGTCCCCACAGGCCTATTGTTGAACCCTCAGCTCTGTTACTTCCCCGCATTATGGTCCTGAGCACATTTCTAAATCTGTGCAACGAGGAGAATGGCCATACCTACCTCATATAATTCTTGCAGAGATTACATGAGATGTATGCAAAAGAGACACAGAAGCACATGGTACGTGATGGCTGTTACTACTTATTGGCCGAAAGAATGAGCTCTGCTGGCCAGTGCTCCTTGCTGTCTCATCCCACATGAAGCTTGTAAGACCATTAGATTCATTGTCTAAAATCTAAGCCCCTGATGGCACAGACTGTCATGCTCATCACTGTAGCCCTGGCGTCTAATTGTGCTGGCATAGAATAGGTATTCAATAAGTACTTCTTGAAAACATAAATGAATATAGGTAATACAGGTATAATTTTACTGGCATTCCAATTTTGTGGATGAGAAAAGTGAGGCTCAGAGAGCTTAAGTGACTTGTAGAAAGTTCTGTAGTTGGTTAGAAAGGCATTAGGATAAGGTTCTCCTGCCTGGTTGTTTTTCTTTTCTACCATATCACCTACTGGAGCCGTTACCTTATGATACAGATAGTGCAGTGCAGTATGTTAGTAACTAAATGTGTCTTCAGGGGCCAAAAAGGATTCTGAAAGCCAGAGCCTACCGTGGTATCCACAGCCTTGACCTTCTCCGTGGGAATGTACTTTGGAACAGGCTCTGTCTGAGAGAGGAACACACACCCCGCAGCGCCCAAGGTGACGATCACCACGCGGCAGCCCCTTCCCAGGAGCACCAGTGCGGCCTTCTTCGCGTCCGCGGGGCTGCTGACCGCCAGGCCGGTGAGAATCTCTGCCTGGAATACACAAGTGAAAGGAGACAGCGGTGAGGAAAGTAGACTGGGCCCACTTTCACATGAGATTTGTTTTCCTAGAATCTGTCTCCCTTATTTTGCATAACAACCACTACAGTGGGGAATTTTGATAGACTCTGGCTCAGAAAAATAAATATAAATAGCAAAATGTTAAACAACAGTTTAGGACCTAAACTTTAGGTGAAGAGTATATGAGTATTCACTGTATCAAAGCTCTATCAGCTTTTCTGTGTGTATGTACAATACTTTTCACAATAAAGAGGTAGGGGAATAGAGAATCCTAAAAATCAAAGTAAGGAAAGGGGGAGGGAGAAAAGGACATAAAACATACCTGCAAATTTCACAGGTAAGGATGTAATTCCTTAGACCTCTCTTGGGCCACGTGCCTTTCTCATCTGACTAGTGACAGCCTTTCATGCTTTGCAGTACCCATTTCTTTGTTTTTGCTGGAGGAGATGGAGGCAGAGTGGAGAGGCACCGCTGTGCAGCAGAAAAAGCAATGCGGGTCTCCACTACTTTCTGGCTCTGACCGTTCCCAGTCATGCAGGATTTATAAAAGGAGGGGCTTTATAAATTGATCAATACTTCTCTCTGAATATAAAAGGTCTCTGGCTAAAGTTGGTGTGAAGGGCTGAGCCCTGAAATTCCTCATCCCCCAGGCACCCTTCCAGCATCTCTAAATAGGTGGTTGAAAAATCACGGGATTATATGATGCGTTTTGACTCAGTTTATAACCAAACTCTGTCTTTCCATATTACAATCTAACCAGGTACTACCTCTTCCTAAGGAGGGTTCTGTCCCTTCCGCTGGTGCTCCTGTTATGCCATCTTTTTTCAATAGACCCTTTCAGTCTGACTCAGTTATGCTTTGAGGCTACTTTCTTTTTTGTTTATATAAGGTTTTCACTGATCTTCACCTCTCCCTCTCTCCCTCTGCCTTTCTCTCACCCCGCCTCCACCCCCATCTTGAAACCCAGCTTCTCTATTGTGAGGAAGCCCAGGCCATAGGGAGAAGCCATGTACGCGTGTTGCGGCCAAGAGCCAGCATCAGACTATAAGCATGTGAGTGAAGGAGGCTTCAGATGATTCCTGCTCTCAGCCTTTGAGTCTCCCAGGCCCCACTGTGGAGGAAAGGCAAGCCGTGTGCCAATTCCTGATGCATAGAATCCATGAGGGACAATAAATAATCACTGTTGTTGTAAACTTCTAAATTTTGGAGTAATTTATTATGCTGCAATAGATAACTATACACAGAGACAGCCGTTCCTCACAGGACTAATAATTTCATAGAGAAGACATACGTGTTAGTAATTCGAGCTGTGATTAGTGTTAGAAGAACACAGCTCTCTGTAAGTATCTAACAGGCGAATCAAAGGCAGTTTGGCCGTTGAGGGAAATGTAACCTCTTATTGTGCAATGGCCACTATCTCCCACAATTCCTTTTACTTAGTACAACGCCCGGCTGTGGTGGTTGCTCAAAAATATTGCGTTGTGTATTGCGGTTGTTAAAATTAGTTCCCTGTAGTCTTCTTTCTTGTTTACTTGATATTCTAAGAATTAGCAAAAAGGCAAATCCTAGAAACCTCATTCAGCCTTCAAACCAAATGGAAAATATAATTTATTAGTTACTAACTTTGTCTCTCTGCATGTTGCATTGTATGCTAAGTCCTGCCTCCCAATGGTGGTAGAGAGCTCTAGTCTACAACTATTTAACTATGAAAGGTAGAAATATTAAAATTATTTTCCTAAAATGCTTTAGAATGAGTGGCAAAATGTGAATATATTGATAGATATTTATTGCAGATCTATAAGTTATGACCCTCAGCTGTACTGAGAGGGTGCTCCCCTAATGGAATGGCCCCAAGGTCTTCCCATGGCATCGATGGAAACCTGGCTGTCCACCAGTGCAGTCACAGGATGTTCACAATAGAATGCAACAAACGCACCAGGGGTTACCTGTTGTTAGGGTTGCTAGACACCAGTTAAGTTTGAATTTCAGATAAACAACAAATCATTTTAAAGTGCAAGTACACTTCATATATTACTTGTTGCTTCTCTGAAACTCAAACTTAACGGGGCATCCTATATTTTTATTTGCTAAATCAGGCAACTCTAATACTAATTAGTCCACAGAATATGGAATTAACAAGGAAGACAAAACACTAATAGTGTGAGGACAGCTGAGGTTTGATCAGTGTCAGATTATGGAGATGTCTCAGAGACTTCTCCCCTACCCCACCTCATCCTACAGGACTCACTGATTTCCTTTCTTCTCACCCATCACTGAAAAGGCTGTTTTCACTGGGACCAATTCACATGCGATCAAATTGATGTGGTTAGTCCTGCTTTTCTGCTTCATTCACTAGCACGAAAGTCTTTGGTTTCTCCTGGAATGCGCACACTGTCTATCCTTACCTCTGTTTCATTGCAGCAGAATACGTCTGAGAGGGTGTAGAAGCGGGGGTCCAGGTCAGCAGTGGCGGGAGCTGGGTTGAACAATGTTTTCACTACAAAGGAGCGGAAGAGGGGTTCAGTGGTTATCGTTTTAATGTGCCGCATTTACAGACGCTCTATAAGGGAAATCCCCAACTACAACCATTTCCTCTTTAGATGAAAAAGCAAGCTAGTTATAAGGAACCTCAGTCCCCATCATAGCCTAGTACATACTCTTTATTTCCATTTGCTCTACTTTAAAAAATTTTATTTTTCAAAAATATATTTTTTATTGTTGATAATGTTATAGATAATTTCCATTTCCCCCCTTCCCCCCTCCCTTTCAGCACCTCTCCCCTTCCCTTTCCCCTCTAGGTCTTCACTACCCTATTGCCCATGTCCATGGGCTCTATATATATGTATGTAACTTCTTTGGTTTGCTAGTATCTCTTTTGCTCTATTTTTCACTTTACAACACTTCAGTGTCAAGGGTAAGCATCAATGTTTACAATCGAGGTGATTACAAAGTTATGACAAAGGGCGACAGGAGGATTAGAGAGGATTTTAAACGTGGCGTGAAAGGACATGCACATGAACATTCAGGCTGGTGAACATTTTTGTGGGTTCAGTTAAACACTCAGTTGCAAGTCTAGTTCATAAATCCATTTTCCAGGAAAGAAAAAAAGAGATGATAGAAAAGAAACAATGAAAAGCTGGGAATTTTCCTGGTGAGACTAGTAAGTAGGAAGCTTATGTACATATGTATATTTTGGACACCTATGTACGTCTTCCAAATATATCAGAATTATTCATGCAAACACACACACTTACACAAAAGCTTACATTCCTGTGAGCAATCTAAGAACAAAGGAAACGGGGAAAGGAGAAAGTCAACCAGAGGCTGGGAGCTAGCTCAGGCTGGGAGACTACAGGAGGAGGATGAATGGGAATGGCACAGCTCTTAGATATTCCAGAGGAGGAAAGCGAGCCTCAGAGAGATGAGGTCACAGCCTCGGGTCATCACTGGGCCTTGAGTAAACTGGATCCCTACCAGGCTCCTCCAGCTTTACCTCCAGGGTTTGATCATCTCTAAAATAGTTGCCTCTCTAGGCCAGAACTGTCCATAGCAACACAGCCCCCAATTACAATTCTCTATTATCTATCTATCTATCTATCTATCTATCATCATTTATCTTTAAATTCATTTTTGTTGTTGAAAGTATTAAAGATGCCTCTCTTTCCCCCCCATTGACGTCCTCTATCCCACTCCTACCTCATTTTATAACAGCATTTGGTGTGGAACTTTGTATTTTTTGAAAGTCTTTAGAAATTATACCCAAAGGAAGCTCCTCCCTTGCCAAATACTCTCTTGCCCACCAGATTACCTGGCCAGATTGGTTGGCCTTCTTTTCCTCTACCATGTCCACTGACTTTTTGGTTTAGTAACCCCAATTTACCATGGACCCATACACTAAAATCCTCCGAGACTCCTCCAGAACAATGGTTCACACACGTGGCTGCACGTCAGCATCACTAGGAGAGCTTAATAAATGCATAACTTCTGGGCTCCATCTCAAAGCCACTGAGTCAGAATCTTTTGGGATTGGCTCAGGAGATGTGCACAGGGACAGGTTCTCCAAGTGGCTCTTCTGTAGCTGTCTTGGCACCAATCCATTCCCCATTCTTGGGGAGATGCTTATCAGCACACAGCTAAAGGAAACTGTTAGCCACTTCTGCGTGGTGAGGCTAGAGTCTGCTTCTGCACCTTCCTTGCTCTTAACATTTTGGTTCAGTCCGTGGACCTTGTCCAGTATCTTCAGCATAATGCTATTCCCACACTTTCATTACTTTAGAATGTCCACCCCTGGGGAATTCTATAGCATATTTTTGGCTGCTCTGGGTTATTCTGTAGCTTAAATTAGAAATGGATATAAAAGTCCTGTGTAAACTGTGAAGTGTGCAAATGTAAGGGATTATTACTGTTATTATATTGTCCTTTACGCACAGCCCGACACCCCCGCCTGTCCACCCATCTCTTCTGCCTTCTGTTGGGGTTTTAGCCTGGCAACAATCTCTCTCATTGGTTTTCCTGCTTTTGTGAGGTTTTAGCAATGCCAATTATGCATAAAGACACTCATTGCCCAGGGTTCTAACACACCCATTTACTTTTTCCAGATTTTAGAACAAATATATTGTTCCCTATTTTCCTTAAGCATTACGTTGAGCCACCATTGCTCACCTATATGATCCTCAAATCTGCACGCAGCAGCATTTGAGCACAGGTTAGAGCAAACTACCAATATGGAACAACAGGGGAAAGCCATTCTTATAAAAGTTCCATTTTATCTCAAAAGATCCCTGATCCAGAAATTCCTTTTCTAACTCTCTCCTATGGAAACACACAGGCATCCACTGCAGTGAAGTTCATTCAGCTCTGTTTGTAACAGAAAAACAAAAGAAACCCAAGTATCCAGCAGAGAGGATTGGCTAAAAAAAATTATGACATATGTATCCAATGAAATGCTCTGCTGCTGTTAAAAAGAATGAAGCAGGTCTCTGGTTTGTCACAGAAAGATTTCTATACTTTATAAGTGAAGAAGGCAGTTTGGTAATAAATTCGAGTATGATACCCCTCTTTATTTTTGACAAAACAAATAAAATATAACTATATGTGTATTTATATTCATACACTTACGCAGATGAGAAAAAAAGTCTTGAGAGATTACTTATTAAACTAATGCGTGATTAATTACAAAAGGCTAATGGGGAAAAAATCTGACCAGATTACCCACTGTATGCCATGCAAACACATCATTCTTAAAACAAATAATATCTTACATAAAAAATAGGTACACTGTGAGTGAAACGATATCACGTCTGGGTTTGGCTTCAAGATAGTCCAAGGTTGCAATGGGGTGGAGAGTTAGGGTATAGATGAAACAAGATTGGTCAAGTGCTGATAACTGTTGAAGCTAAATGATAGTATATGTAGATTTACCATATTCTCTATATATCTGTATATATTTAAAATTTCCCACAAAACAAATTTAAAAAATTACATTGGCTTTTAAGCAATAATTGTAGGAGTAAGGAATTCTATAATTTAATTTGACTACAAATCTACCTAATAAAAGAGTAACATGCTAATTGACCATACCTTTGTGATGCCCACCAGCCAATCAGGAGTGAGTATGCAAATTAGCCCAACAAAGATGGCAATTTAATTTGCATATGCAGGTGCCCCAAGTGGCTAGAGGTGGGGCAGGATGCTTGTGTCATTGCCATGGTGATGACACAGGCGTTCTGCACACCCCCCCCCCCCCCCCCCCCAGTTGCTCCAGGCCTCTGGGCAGTGTGGGAAGGCAGAAAAGTGGCTCCAGAGTGAAGGCGTTGGTGGCAGCCAGGGGAAGGAAAGCCCATTTTTGCGTGAATCTTTGTGCTTCAGGCATCTAGTATAGTATAAAAATCAATCCAATCTTATTTGGTTTTATTTTACTAAGGGAAAATATTCTTACCAATATTAACTGGCTATATAGACTTAGAGTCTGCTAGTAACTAAATTGAGGGAAAAAGCAAAAATGCCATTAAAAAAAGGCCTCTCTTTAGTTCATGCTACCATAAATAAGCATCATCATGCTTCACCATGATGAAAAAAAAGAAGAAGATATACTAGATCAAAGTTTTTAAGAGACAAGATGGAAAAAACCCCTATGTCATCTTGGAACCATGCCAAATGGAGAACACAGGATGTCCGGTGGAGAAACAGGGCTGCAGAGGTGACTGATGGCGCACACCAGTAATTATTACTCATTACAGCGTCAGAGGGACTAAAACCCCGGTTGTCCTAACAGCATGTCAGTCAGTGGCTGCCACAAGAACGTCAGTGAGGAACTGGGAGGCCTAGGGAGGAAGCTGCGTAGGGGCCAAGACAGGAACATGAGGCAGAAGCTCTTCATGATGTCACCTCGGAGGGTGGCGGCTGGGCAGTGGGGAAGGCCCTCATAACTAGCTCGGAGAAGGAGAGGAAGACAGGCACCCTACGCAGGCAGACCGTGGGAAGCTGAAGAACCCCAGACACTGGCTTGACAGCCTCTCACTGGAGGAGGACTTGTCTGGGACTTGAGCAGCAAAAACACTCACGGGGTGGGCCACATGCTAGACTGTGTTACTGTGTAAGTCCAGGTAGCCAGCCAAGGAGTTCTCTTTGCCGAACGGGAAAGGATTAAAGTGGCATGAAGAGATATTTTGTGTCCCGCCTAGAATTTAATCTTGGCGATTTTACAATCTCAGTTATTTACAATTGTTCCTGTAATGTCTCATTTGCTTTGAAATGGATATAAAGGCCAGAACCAACATGCACAATTTCATCACCAGCAACTGCAGCACCAGCTCCGGTGTGCGGCCACCTCACAGTACGGTGGCCTGGAGAGGACGGGGCTCCAGAGGGCGACCACTGCATATTTTAGGGTGGAAGTGCTGTCTCTTGAAAATCACTGCTTTCTTTTTGGTCAAGATAGCAAGAGAGTCCTGGGAGTCTACAAAGATGGAGGGGCCTTCTTCCTCTGTATTTTGTTGTTGCTAATCTTCACCTGAGGACATTTCCCCCTTGATTTTTAGAGAGAGTGGAAGAGAGCGGGAGAGACCCAGAGAGAAAAGCATGGATGTGAGAGAGACAGATCTGTTGTCTCCCACATGCTCCCTGACCAGGGCCAAGGATGGAGCCTGCGACAGAGGTACCTGTCCCTGGCCAGAATTGAACCTGCGACCCCTTCAGTCCACGGGTGGATGCTCTATCCACTGAGCCAAACTGGCTAGGGCTTCCTCTGTATGTTAACAGCTGATGTGCAATCTAGTTATACCGTGTGTTGAATTCAAACTCCATTACTAGTTAAGTAGTACAGATAAGCACTGTGATAAACTCACAGATGATGATGGCTGTGCCATCTCTCTTGTGAATGGAATAATGCTGATTAGCACATACGTAGTTTCATGGGGCAATGGGGAGGACAGTCAGCACTCACCACAGATCTTTAAGCTTTGCTGCTTCTCTGCGATCAGTCCACCCACACATCGCCACGTTAAAGACCTGTGAGAGCTCTCAGCCTTGTCCTCATTTCACAGAAGAAACAGAGGCCCAGAACAAGGAACTGACGGACTTCCTGATGTTCCCCATTTGCGATGTGATTGATTCTGAATCCAAAGCCATGCTTCATGACTCCCAAACCAGTGCTCCTTCTGGACAGAGGACGTGTGCATGTGTGTGCATGTGTGTATGTAATGGGGAGGGTGGGGACACATTGCTGAAAACACTCTAGCGTCCCTTGTCTGTGACTTGAGGCTGGAGAAGACGGGTAGTGTTAGAATTCACAGATTTTACTTTTCTAGAGATACACTTCATAAAGGCTCAGCTGCTAGAATCAAGGGGATTGTGAAGTTCCTGTAAACTGTGGTCTAGGACACAGAACTTGGGTCCTGGAGTCCGGAGTCCTGGCTTCTACACTGACTAAAAGTATGACCTTGGCTGAGCAAAGTACTTAACTTCCCCAAGTCTCAATCTTCAGTCTGGGAGAATAATACCTGCCATATCTTTGACATAAGGTTTTTCTGAGGATGAATTTTACAAAAGCATTTTATAAGCTCTCAAGTACATACAAATGCAAGGTTTACTACTTCCAGTATTATTATATCAGATAATGCACAATCAATACTTAGGCATGTTAGCAAAATGTGAAGCAGGCTACGTGGTCTTTGGCTCACCACTACCTATCCCCCTTTCTGGTCCTGTAGCTCCTCAGCTGGAAGAACTGCCTGGCAGGCGATGGAGGAAGCATTCCGGACCCCACCCAAAAGGCCCCAGGTCAGGCTGCCTGCTCATCTGGATAACGCCCGCCTCACCCGTGGAAGTTTGGATCCTCTGCTGGGGGTGCCCTACCCGTCTCTCCTCCACAAGCTGGGTAGACAATAGAAAACTTGGTTAGGTAGTAGGAAAGAGAGAGAAGAGACACGAGAATATGCTCCGATCTGTACCAGGAAAGAGAGGAGCGTGAGTGAAGTGGCACGCTGTGTCTGCATCCCCCGAGGCAGTGAGTGCCGTGCAGCGAAGGCTCAGCACAGCCTCACACTGGATCTGGGGCCTGGGGAAAGGTAACAGAGTGGCTTCTGGCTCAGAATTCTTCCTGGCAGCTTCGAGTTCATTAAAAACACATTATATGTCAGTGAGACTTCGCCATGGCATGTTGTTTTGCCATAAGAAAAATTTGTTAAATCAGGTCAAACATTTAAAAATGTTTGAGGGAAATCACACACACGCACACACACACACACACACACACAAACACACACTGTTCTTTTTTTTTTTTTTATTGTAACTTGATAAGAAAGCTTTATCTGGAAAAACCAATGTGGTTCTTCTTAACATATACAGAACTATTACCATATATGAAGAAGAAGCATTGTCTAAGAGTGGCTAGTTTTTATTTATTTATTTATTTATTTTTACCAAATGGTGCTGATCAGGCTATTGTCCAAATTTTAATTGAAAGAGAGAAGAAAATTTAGATTTACTGAACTCACTACTTTTATTCCATTCTTAGAACAATTCTGTAGGGGAATATTTTTATTTATATATATTTTTATTTTTGGGTAGTATTTTTATATGCACTTAACAGACAAGGCTCAGCAAAATCTGGTAATTCTGCAAAGACCACAAAGCTCATAAAGATAAAATATAGGCTTCTAATTCATCTCCCTTCTGGTCAATAAGAAAAAAAGCAACAAACAGAAGGAAACTATCTGGATTTCTAAAAGTCTGTTACTTGCTGGGGGTAAGAGAGGAGGCCTGGGTGGGAGAGCAGATGAACCAAGATTAGCTAAGGGTTGATAATTGTCAAAGCTGGATGATGGGTATCATTATACAATTCTGCCTGCTTTTGCATTCTCAAAAATTTCCAAAATCAAAGATCAAACAGAAGAGCTGCTTAAAGGATGTTGACAAATAGCAAATATTACATATAAATAACCTGTAGTTGTTTATAGCAAAGATGGTACAGTTTTACAAAAGGAGGAAGCCGCTAACCTTTAATTCCTAGAGAAGTTTATCAAGATGCACCTGGGCAGTGGTTACACATGACATGCAGCTTACCCTCTGCTTCTCAGAATGGGAATCGGTCCACTCCCTGAACTGTATCTTGGACAGGGAGCTGCTTCAGAGATTCTGGTTACTACCTGTATTATTTCTGCTAACTAGACTGAAGATTTATATTGTGGGATATATCAGAAATGTTACATTACTTTTACACTATTTGTAAGGTTTTCTAATGTTAGCAAGAATCAGAAGAAGACAGTGAATCCTACAGATGGGAAAATTTTACTTAAGAACAGTATTGCTTTGCTTAAAAGGTTAACTTTAATTAAGGCAGAGATAAAAGCTTTTATAGACAGAATGACAAGCAGGTAAAATTACCTCCACTGCTGCGGGCCATTGTTAGGGCTTCCAAAGAAGTCGCTGGAGTTACTTCTAGCTGGCAGATCATGACTTTGGCGCTGCTAATGGCATTGGCTGCTTCTCTCAGGTCATCAGTATTCAACAGTAAATTGGCTCCAGCCACTATCACGATGATATTCTGGCCTGCAAAGAATTTCTATATCAATATTACGTTAAAACAAGGGAAAGCCAAGCAGTGATACTCCGCAGTGTTACAGTCACTCTTACAAAGTCATTACATGAAAGGTGTTGTATTAATTTTAACATTTGTAGGCCATTCAGGTTAATTTTCAAATTCCTAATGTATTTTACAATATTTATGTAACATGATTCAAATTCTAATCATTTTGAGCAAAATCTAAAAATGACTTCCTTTATCAGTATTCTTATATACAGACTATTAGCTGAGAAATGATATATAACATACATCAAATTTTCTTTTATGGGAAATGGCTGGTAGAATGTATATGGTAAAGAGACTTTAAAAAAAATATATATATTTATTTTTTTTTTATGGAGAGGAAGGGAGAAGGATAGAGAGTTAGAAACATCGATGAGAGAGAAACATCGATCAGCTGCCTCCTGCACACCTCCTATTGGGGATGTGCCCGCAACCAAGGTATCATACATGCCCCTGACTGGAATCGAACCTGGGACCCTTCAGTCCACAGGCCGATGCTCTATCCACTGAGCTAAACCAGTTAGGGCTGTGGTAAAGAGTCTTAATCCTGCCATAGTCAGTTTGGCTCAATAGATAAGAGTATCGGCCGAGGACTAAAGGGCCCCAGGTTTGACTCTGTTCAAGGGCATGTACCTTGGTTGCAGGCTCGATCCCCAGCCCCGGTCAGGGCATGTGTGGGAGGCAACCAATGGATGTGTCTCTTTCATGTCAATGCTTCTCTCTCTGTGTCTCTTCCCCTCCCTTCCACTCTCTCTAAAAATCAATGGAAAAATATCCTCTGGTGAGGATACACAACAGTAACAACAACAACAAAAGATTCTTAATCCTAAATAACAGTGTCCTAATGATGAGTATGAATAGGAAGAAATTTGCCTAATGCTACTACTTGTAATACTTTAAACAATAAAATAAAATTAAAAAAATACTAATGCTCCGTAAACACAAATCTCGGTACTGGAAAAATTCAAAGTACCCACACACCGAAAGACAGTAAGTTTGAGGTGGATCCTATGGTATTCTGAAAAGTGATTTTTAAATCAAACCACATTCTACAATATTTAGCAGATGAAAAATTGCACTAAATGACTTAAGGTAGAGAGAAGGATATTTTGGCCTAGACTGTACCAGATCAAATAGCAGCAAGACTAAGGAATCTTATACAGGGTGGGGCAAAAGTAGGGTTAAAGTTGTCAGTATGTGGAACAGAGTTTATTCTTGTGTTATTATTTATTAGGTATTGTATTGTTTAAGCTGACTTTTGTCCTACCCTGAATACCCATCACTTGGATCCATTCTCTACAAACCCCCCTAAAGGCGGGAGGTGAGGTGGTCCATTTCATTGTCTGGTGAACTCTCAAGAGCTGTGCTGCCCAATATGATGGTCAGAAGCACAAGCCACATGTGGCTACTGAGCGCTTGGAATGCATTAGTTCAAATTGAGATTCGCTTTAATTGTATTCAATACAACACACAGAAGATTTCAAGGGCTGACAAAGGTAAAATACCTAATTAATTTTTAGGAACTTTTTGATTTCATGTTGAAAGGATAATGTTTTGGATATATTGGGTTAAGGGAACATATTAGGATGAGTTTTACCTGCTTCTGTTTACTTTTTTAAATGTGGCTAATGGAAAACTTAAAATTGCGTATGTAGCTTACATTGTGTTTCTGTTGGACAGCATTGACCTAGTGGGATGAATTGCAGGAACATTTTTCTGGTGCCGCAGGCTGCTCTTGTATAGACATGACCTAACGTTACCTCTGAACACAGAACACATGCTAGCCTATCATCTTACCACAGATGTGTTTGTTGGCCACAAGGAGGGTTTAATAAAGTGGGGATGGGCTCCGCGTAAACCCAATCTCAGTACTGGAAAAATTCAAAGTACCCACACACTGAAAGACAGCGTACCTCCTTCCCTTTCTCCTCAGTGACCTCACTCCTGCTAGAGTCAGCTGCTGCCTCTGTGTTGCTGACTCCTGAATCTGCATTTCTGGTCTGGCCGTGGCTGATGAGCAACAAGCCCAAGACCCCGCTGTATGGTGGGCACTGCCACGTGGCTAGCTCATCCATGCCTCAACTTTAACTTGTAAAAACGAAATCTTTTGCTTGACCTTGCTACTCACTCCTTTAAAGAAGCTGCTCTGAGTATTTGGATTAGCTCTTCTACTACCACCTATACTCTTAAAATTTTTTTTTTTTATTATTGATTTAAGAGAGGAAGGGAGAGGGAGAGAAAGATTGAAACATCAGTGATGAGAGAAAATCATTGATTAGCTGCCTGCTGCATGCCTCCAAATGGGGATCAAGCCAGCGACTCCGGCATGTGTCCCGACTGGAAATTGAGCTGTGATCTCCTGGTTCCTAGGTTGACGTTCAACCATGTCACGCCATGCCAGCTGGGCACCACCTATACTCTACAGACAGACAAAGTCTGCCATAATAGACACTTGATACAAAATATTAAATTACATCTTTGCACAAAAATGCAGTATTTTGTACCCAGAAAAGGAAGAAACATAACTCAAAGATATCCCTAGAACACAAAAAAAGAGGTGTAAGACAGGGAATGAACTGCTGTTGGCAGCAGTAATCACTTAGGAGGTGGCTTAAAGCAATGAACACAGACTATTGTTAGAAGGAAAACTTTTATTGACTGTCTTTAAGCGGGACACTGCAACTCTGGGATCACTAAAGGTGACAATATCATGAGGAACGATCTTGTGAAACTGTGTTATAAATTAAAAACATATTGTGACAAACCCTAAGCTAACACAAAGCATGCTGACTGCCCATAATGCTCTAGGTTCTGTCGTAAGTGCCCCATAAAATGCTTGGCCATTCTGTATATTCTGATTTTTAAAATTGTATGGTGGTGTTTTTATACTAAAAATAGTTGGCAGAAATCCTAAAAACTTTACTTGAGGGCAAAGGGAAATTACTCTTTTCAAAGACAAATGTCTCGCTATTGCCAAGCCTATGACAGAGACAGTTGTATATATAGAATTTTGAGATTTGATTGCTGTTTAAAGAGCAGGCAAAATTGAACACTAACGACATGTTAGAAGTAATTAGTTCATGCCATTTGCACAGTAAATATTCTATAAATATGATTCATCAACTTTCTTTTGCACCTATCTATTTACATTTATTTACCTGGTATAACTGAAATGACAGATGAATACTTACTGCTTTTAGAGACAAATGTCAATTCTGAGTTCACATGAAGGGTAATGGGGTGTTACAGGATATAAAGATTATTTTGAGGCAACTTTAATGCTTTATATGTATTGGATGGACATTTTATATTTGAACGAACAGCCTGGGATGTATAAGTAAGGGAAATATTTATGTTTAGGCTGGAAAGAGCATGCTGTACACCTGGTAGGTATGGTAAGAGAGCTATAAGATTAGGATAAAAACGGATATTTCTGTTCTAGTTCAGGAAATGCACTGTTTTATGAAATGATACTTCAATATGCAAAACACATACCTTCTTTATTGACAATTATAGAAGCAGTTCCTGTAGCAGCATCTTTAGTTTGATATGTAAATTCTAAAGGAAAAAAAATTACAATCACATATACACAGCCCAGCTTGGATAATTTATTTTAACAATTTCAATGTACCATTAATCCTCAGAAAACTTTTTAACTTTTTTAACCATCTGGAATGATAAAAAAGAAATAAGTAATTAGTGCTAATTTATTCTCATCACCTATACAATGAGGAAAATACAAGTTTTTATACTTAGTTGTACTATTTTTTTTTTTTTACATTATTAACATCCAACAAACCACCCACTTCCAATTCCCCCAAATTATTCATAGTTGTATACATATGCATTTTCCTGTATTACCATATTTCTTTAGTGAAAGAAATGACAAAGTTGAGTGAAAGACTAAAGGTCAAACCTATAAAATCAACCTGTTTGTTTTTCTTCATTCTCATAAGCTTTGCATCTCATCAAGAATTATGGCCTGGCATGTAAATGGTGATGTTGACCAGCCAGTCTTTGGCAGCAGCAAAGAGCCTTGAACTGGGACCAAAGACCTGCATTCTGGTCCTGGCTGTAGCTCCAACTAGCTGTGCTCTTGGACGAATTCATAACCTCTCTAGCCTTTGTTGTTCTCTTTTATGAAACAACTAGAGGCCCAATGCACGAAATTCGTGCAAGAGTAGTCCTTCCTTCCCCTGGCTGCCTGCACCGGCTTCTCTCTGGCACCCGGGACCCGGGCTTCCCTCATAGCCCTGGCTTCATCAGGAAGGTGGTCCAGAAGAATGACTGGTCTAATTAGAATATTATGCTTTTATTATTATGAATAGTATCAGATCTCAATGATTTCTAAGATTGTTTCCAGCTATGATACTTAATGATTTTTCTTAAAATATCTTTTGTGAATGTAGCACCTGTTTTATCTCATCACGTGCTTTTGAAACATTTCCACGAACTGAAGATTTGTAACCTGTTGTCTTAGTCCCATCTGGAGGAATGAACATGGAAGAATTAACCATAGGCTGTTTAAGCAAGACTAGACAAAGCTATGCATACAAATTCCCTGGCCACCAGGGGAGGATCTAATAATTCTATTCTATATTCAGCTTTTCTTATAATCAGATCACACAAGAAAGTTATAAAAACCAATCTTAAAAAAGATTAAATTTTACCTGTAGAAATATCATTCTGCTTAAAGTTTTCTATGTAATCATTGCCAAAAGAATCTTTGCCAACCTGTACCAAAGAGATAATGAACATTAGATCTTTTGCATTTAGTAAAATGCTACAATGTAGTTTTTAGAATACTTAGCATTTTGAAAGGGCATATCTGCACAGTGCTTTATAAACATTAACTAATTAATCTTCTTAATGTACGTTGCTAGACTTGGTTTCAGCCCAAAGAATTGTTATATACTAATGTTCCACTTTTATGTGAAGCATTAAAAAATATATATATTTTATTGATTTCTAAAAGAGAGGAAGGGAGAGGGATAGTGAGCTAGAAACATTGATGAGAGAGAAACATCGACCAGCTGCCTCCTCTACATCCCCTACTGGGGATGTGCCCGCAACCAAGGTACATGCTCTTGACAGGAATCAAACCTGGGACCTTTCAGTTCACAGGTTGACGCTCTATCCACTGAGCTAAACCGGCTTCGGCAAAATGTGAAGCATTTTAATGATGCTCACCAGTTCTATAAGTTCACTCTCACTTTGATCTCACCATGTGGAAATTCCCACTGAGACGGAGCTGTCCACCATCAACTATCCTCAGTATTTTTTTAAAAAATATATATTTTATTGATTTTTTTTTACAGAGAGGGAGAGGGATAGAAAGTTAGAAACATCAATCAGCTGACTCTTGCACACCCCCTACTGGGGATGTGCCCACAACCAAGGTACATGTCCTTGACTGGAATCGAACCTGGGACCTTTCAGTCCACAGGCCGGCACTCTATCCACTGGGCTAAACCAGTTAGGGCTATCCTCAGTATTTTTGAAGAATCTCAGTTGTTCATACTTCACTATAAATGACAGAATCTTTATAATGACTTGCCTGATGCCTTAGAATCTTATCTTCTCCCCAGACCCTGACTTGGAGCTCAGGAGGGAATTTAAAAAGCCCTTGCTACCTTGGTAGAGTGGAATTTCTTTGTTTTTGCATCCTTGCATCCATTCTGGTAATACTTCAGTTTTCCCTTTAGACATGCATTCCTTGCTCACTCATAGGCAACGTGATCAGGGGGGCACAGTTGTAAAATCAATGAACCTATGTTGTCACATCAACCAAACTCTCTAAACTCCGTAGTTTATTTTAGGGTTCCCTCTGATGTTGTACATTCTATGGGTTTTGGTAGATGTATAGACGAGTATCTGTGATTATATTCTCATATAGACTGGCTACACTGCCCTAAAACTCCTCTCTGCTCTGCCTGTTCATTGCTGTCTACCCCTAACCCTGGGCAACCATAGACCTTTTTCACTATCTATCGTTTTATCTTTTCCAGAGTGTCATCTAGTGGGAATCACTCCTGAACTATACTTCTATTTTTTCTGTCCTGCAGGTGAGCACTGCAGCAAGGGAGTATGTCTCTGTCCAGGTCTCAGCCCCTCCTGGTGTGCTCTGCTTGCCCACAGAAAATTGTTCCTCTCTGGATATATCAACAGAAAGAAACGTAGTTATTTACTTGAGTCAGGATCTGCAATGAGTGATGATAAAATTTCCTGGTGAGCATGTGGACCGTCTAGATCAGAGATTAGCCACTACTTTTTACTGTAAAGGACTAAATAGGTAATATTTCATTCATTCATTCATTCATTCATTCATTATTTATTTATTTTCAAATAGGTAATATTTTAGACTTTGCGGGCTATATTGCCTCTTATACAACAATTTACCCCTGCCATTGTAGAGTTGGCGGCCAAAGATAATATGTCAACAAATGGATGTGGCTGTATCCCAATAAAACTTAATTTACAAAAATATGTAGTGGGTAAGATTTGCCCCATGGATCATGTTTGCTGACCCCTGATTTAAATGCCACTTTTGATAGCTTATTCTGCAAAAGAACACCTTTCCTTTTGCTCCTTTTCTGGCTCAAGTGCTGATTAGGCAGTGACCTCAAACAGTGTGTAATCACTTCTTCCTAGCAGAACCTCTGTCTTTATAATGGAGAGCCCACCACAGTGTTGCCGTGGGCGAGTTCCCTGAGGAAGGGGCCATCTACCAAAAGTTTCCTTCCTGGAAGGCTGGCTGTTCACTTGTCTGGCAAGTAAGCGCTAAAGCATCCTAGTTGCTAGGTCAGAGATTCTTACCATAAGACTCGAGAGCTGAGCCAAGTTCTCTCATCTTTTTTTTTTTTTTTTTTTTAACACATTATTTAACTCTTTCCCATGGACAATCAGGGTATTATATAGTTGGGAAAGTATTATTATAAGAATGTTCTGGGGTTAAGAAAAGGACATCCCTAGGCATGTGGGCATACAAACTAAAGCAAAGACATTTCTCTCCCCTTTCCTATCAGTTTTCTATGGGAAGAATCTGTTGAAGGTGACTGTCAAGGGCAGGTAGTAAATGGTGATGATATAAACAGTAGCAAGTGCAGGGGTTAGGAGAAATTCTTTCTTTGCCCTCAAGAAACTGATAATATTGGAGGGAAATAAGACAGACCAGGTGGGACAGCATGAGCATCACAGGCATAACTGGGAAGGATTTCACGCTCAGGTAGTTGCATTTTGCAGACTTGCTGTAGTTGTATTTTAGAGGCTGCAGCAGCTGCCTGTCTTCTTCCTGCTCAGGGCACCGTCTGATTGGCTACATCCCTGGGTGATGGTTATGGTCCCAGCTTTATTCAAATGGCGAGTTCCTGGCAAGTCTGTTGGCTGGTCTTCTAAAGTCTATGTGAGACATGGGACAAAATACTGTGTTTTTTGCCTTCTTTGATATTCTCCTGTCTAAAAATAAAAGTCTGGTAACTAAAAAATAATGGAACAATAACAAGACTGCTGAGGATTAAGAGAAGTCAACTGAAGCTCCATTAACTGTACATCACCTAGGTCATTACAAAGTGAAAGAAGTGATGAAAAACCTAAGAACGCAAGACAGTATTCCCTTTGTGTCATGGAAGCCCCTCATGCTAGCTGTGTGGTTTTGGGTGAGCCGTTTTAATTCTCTGTAGGCTCCGTGTTCTTATCTGGAAAGCCACAGCAAGTTTGCTGTGAAGATAAAGTAAAGTAATATGCATAAAAGTACATTTAAAGCTATAAAGGATTAGTATAAAAGATGAAAGAAAAGTACATAAAATTCCAGTTTTGGGTTTGGTGCCGCCATCATCACCATCATGATCATGATCATGCTGCTTCTCTTGGGGGAAGGAACTCCTGCTGCTTGAATCCAGTCTTATAAACTACTTACGTGTCCATCTTGTTCTCCCTGATGCTTCAGCTCTTTCTGTGGAGTTCACACATGATACGAATGAAAGAACTTTGACAGCATAAGGACTATTATAAAGGCACCTTCATGGGGTATCTTTGGAGGCTTCCCTGTTTTCCTGGTCACACGTTGACTATCAAGTTGAAATGAAAACTTGAAGTATGTTGGCCATGAGGCAGAATGGTGCTCATGGAAGTCTGGAATCTAATTTCAGTTATGCTGTTACCAAGCTAATTAAAATTCTTTACTACGTTTTGTGACAAATTGTTCCATCTGAGCCCCAGGCTGTAGGGTGGGACTGGTTGGTGTGAGTTACCTTTGGCAGGAAAGAAACCAATAATTCTCAGTCTTAGCTGCTCATCAGTATCTCCTGAGAAGCTTGTAAACATCCTGATGCTCAGGTTTCTAGAACATCCCAGACCAATTCAATCAGGCCTCTGCCGGTGAGACCAGCACGCTTCCCAGGTGATTACCATGTGTGAACTCCAGTCAAGGATTGGACCGTGATTGCAGAATTCAGGTTGGAGGTGTCTGTAAAGGCTTGTGTGCACCGAAGAAGAGAGCACAGTCCTGCTTGCTAGTAGGTTGGTAAGTCCTCTAAGTGGGAGCCCGGAGAAGTGTGACCTGCAGAATCTGATGGGGGCGAGGAGCCCATCAGGATCCAACATTGGGATCAAGGTATGGTGAAGCCCGAGAGATTTCCTTGGCTTGTGTTTGCTGACTAGACTCATTTTGACGTGGCCCAGGCTGCTTCTGCCTCCATGGGGAAGGCTCTCTTTGCATCGAGGGAGACCCAGTCAGGGGCTTCCATGGCCCAGAACCGTGGTCGGCAAACTGCGGCTTGTGAGCCTCATGTGGCTCTTTGGCCCCTTGAGTGTGGCTCTTCTACAAAATACCATGGCCTGGGCGAATCTATTTTGAAGAAGTGGTGTTAGAAGAATAAGTTTAAAAAATTTCGCTCTCCAAAGAAATTTCAATCGTTGTACTGTTGATATTTGGCTCTGTTGACTAATGAGTTTGCCTATCACTGGTCCAGAACAATGGCCTACCACTGAGGAGGGGAACTATCAGTTAGCACTATCATAATAAACACCTGCATTTCAAGATGGTGGAGGAATGGGCTGTTTGGAATCCTTGAATAGTGGAAAACATCGAGTAATTCCACCCATCAACATACTAGTATAACTGATGTCAAAACACAGAGGACCAAGATTTCTTACCTGAGGTTATATGAAATTAAATATTCTGCTAAAAATGTTATCACATATATTACAACAGGTTACTGATTTTCAAAGTTAGGATATGGGCAAATATAATCAGTACTGAAACTAGGCTGTGATTCAAGACATTTCGTGACTTTCAGTGGCTGAGGGTCAAAATGAGCAGCAGGTTTAGAAGATTAAGCTGGATTTGCTGTCGTGAAACAAAACGCAGCAGCTGCTTTAAAAGTAAATTCCTCATATTAACTTTTAACCTGCCATTTGTGGCTTTATCATAAAAGATGAAAGAAAAATACATAAAATCCCAGTTTTTTAAGCTTGCTGGTTGTTTAAATCCCAGATAAACGGTGTTTACCTTAATAATGGCCTTTAATATACAGAGTTAACGTTAACATTACCATTATCAGGCCAGCTTATCTGAGCATGGGAATGGGTTTGTGATAATCCAATGATTTCTTCAATTCTTTTAAAATGAGGCATATTTTATTTATTTGGTCAACTAGTGTTAGCCAGTGGTCTTTCAAAGGATGTCAGGAAAGGGCAGATTGCACTTCATTGTATGTTACCTTGAAAGGCTGGTGCCTAATTTTTGATATTTGAAAATCAAATCTCAGTGCATGATTAGTTGATTGTCCTACTATAATCTTAACATAGAAGGAAATTTCTGATTAAGATGATGGGTACTCAAATATACTGCTTTCCATGCTGACTGGTGAAGCCTCAGTTTGTTTTTTCATTTTCAATCTATTCAGGCTAATAATTTTGCAAAATATAGTATCAATGAAATGAAACAAAGTCATACAAAATACAAGGCCTAATTTAGTATATATTATTTATATTCTATTCACCAGCTATAATATAAAGCTACTCCGTCAAATTGCTCTAAATATTTATGTTTACGCTGAGTTTCTATACTGTCCAGTCCAGTGATCATGCTGCTTTAGAGAGAGAAAGAAACACCAATGATGAGAGAGAGGCAGCACTGGTCTAACGTAATGCCTCTGTCCCAGAACTTCATTCCTGGCATTTCCACTCTGAATGGAAAACAGTACTTGTATTAGAGAGTCGAGTCTCATGTTTGAAGGAAGCAAAACCAGGTAATTTCTTGAAGGTCCTTGCTTGCTGACTTCCCATCTGGGCTGCGTGGGTTCATGCCTGCTTGTGGTTTCCTTCCACCTGCATAGGAAGCAGGGTCTCTGGGCTTATGCTGGGCCACTGCTTTTTTTTAGCTTTTTATTCTACCTTTGGCCTCCTGAGATGCCAGGTTTTGATGTTTAGAGATATCTTTCTCCTCTCTAACGTTTGGCTTCAATGGAAGGGAGGAAGAGAAACATGTAAATCAGGTGAAGCCCTAGGAAGGGTGTCCTAGCAGGTTCTTTGCCCTGCCAAGAGGACTTTCATTTTCCTGCATTTTAATCTCAAAGTATCTTTAATTACCCTTGGCCTGTTGCCTTGGCCCATGACTCAGTTAAATACTGACTACACAACTCTTAGCTACTTGGTCTTTCATTTTACACATTCCACTGTACGCATATTGATGGCCTCCTACTTGATAGTTCTTGCCACAGTATCTTGACAAGTATTTCTCCTTAGCTCAAAGTAAGATGTTTTGCACATGCCATGGAACAGTCTTACTTGAATTTTATTTTATTTTTTTTGCCAGGCAGTAATAGGTAAGTTAATGTTGCTAAGAAATCCATACAAAAATTTCTGTTTTTCTTTTGTTCCATCTGTTCAATTTTATCTTGAGTAATTTAATGATTTTGGGTTCTACTTGGAATTTTCATCTTTAAAAAACTGCCATAAAACAGTCTGGCTAATTTGCTCAATTAAAATATATTTCACAATGGGAAGAAATATCATGATTAATGGATAACAATAACTTCTACTAGAAAAGAGATTTTATTTTTTTGTTAAGAAGTCTAAGCATAGCCCTAGCTGGTTTGGTTCAGTGGATAGAGTGTTGGCCTGAAGACTGAAGGGTCCCAGGTTTGATTCTGGTCAGGGGCACATGCCCAGGTTGGGGACTCGATCCCCAGGGAGGGGTGTGTAGGAGGCAGTTGGCCAATGATTTTCTCTCATCATTGGTGTTTCTTTCTCTCTCTCTCTCTCCATCTCCCTTCCTCTCTAAAATAAAAATATTTTTTTGGAGGGTGGTGGTGGAAAAGAAGTCTAAGAATATTATGCAATTAGATTAATCTTAAATAAATCCATATCTAAATATCTCAGGTGGTTGAAGCAAAGTCATCCTGTATAGATTTTAGCTAACCTCTCTGTACAGATCCCCAGGTAAATTCCACCATAGAGCTAAACACTAGAGGACTAAGTCATGGATGTGTTAGATATAAAGGACTTTCAAAACTGGGCAGGGACTAATATAAACCATCATTCATAGGCCAGAATAAAATAATCAGCACCTTTGCTTTAACCAACCTCCTAAAGAGAACATTTCCCCAAACACAGCCTTCTGCCTACTGTTCCCCTCAGACCGACTTCTGTGGTTTCACCATTCATTTCTCAAGGTCAGTTCCACAATTAAAATATTTCTATTTTGCATTTCTCTCTTTGCCTCAAATTAACCTAAAATAAAACGAATCTCCAAACCGCTGAGTGGATGAGATCCTATGGGACACCCCATTTTGACTCTAATGGCTAAATGAGTAGCTTTTATAAAAACTTGCAAGAGGGGGCTCTCTAATCTCTCTCTTTTAACAGCTCCAGCTCTAGGGAGCTCCTCTCTCCCCACAGCTATTCTCAGTACCTTGTTCCAACACTAATTCTCTCTCTAGATTTCCCCAGCCTGGAAATGACATCCTCTTTCCAGTTTCCAAGCCCATTAAGTCAGCACCATCTTATTACTCCCCAAACCCTTCATTTCTAATCAAGTAGAGGATGGATCAAGCACAACATTTTTAATTGGCTCCCTCTCTAAGCCCCATAATTCCTAGCATATAATATTGGTCATCAATAATTAATTGCTGATTAATTGATATTTTAAATCTATTAAGAGCTCAACCTTAGCAAATGAGGGTTTCTTGTGTTTCATGAGCTGGTTTTGCCCAAACAGCCAGATGAGAATTATATCATGTTAATCATAAATTAGAAACAAAGCTACAGTTCATTAGAAGACGAAGTGATAATTGTACAGCTTATGCATCATTTAAAGACTCCCTCGGAGAAGAAAGTGCTGTATGCAATGGGAAGTGATATTTCAGAGACATTTTGGTAAAATCTGCCCAGTGCACAGCAGAGAGCTCATTCCTTTAAATTTCTCATATTTTTCTTATCCTCTACTATACAGACCCAGAATAGCTTTCCTGTTATACCAGTAATGATAGCATCATAAAATTTCATTAAAGATGCAAAAGTTGAACCTTTGGTAGTCAATTCTGTTTGATTTACTTAAAAAAAATGTTTTATTGACTATTTCACAGAGAGGAAGGGACAGGGACAGAGTGCCAGAAACATTGATGAGAGAGAAACATCAATCAGCTGCCTCCTACACCCCCCTCACCCCCACTGGGTATGTGTCCGCAGTCAAGGCAAATGCCCCCGACCGGAATCGAACCTGGGACCCTTCAGTCCGCAGGCTGACACTCCATCCACTGAGCCAAACCAGCCAGGGCTTGATTTACTTTTGAGATCACTTCAGTGGGTGGATGGAAATAGAAATATGAATTTTAGTTTCCTTTAAATACCTGAAGACAGAACTACACCTAAAGATCAGTGATGTCCAGTCAGTAAGGCCCAGATTCCTTTCTGATCCAAGATACAGCATCAGAGGGAAAAAACAACAACCCAGAGATGAGTAAATCACCAGTTATTAAATCAAGTTTCTAAAAGCTGTGTTGATGCAGTAAAACCTGCTAAAAACAGCTGGATGGTGTTGCTCAGTGGTTAAGTATACATATATGAATCAGGAGGTCATGGCTCGATTCCTGGTCAGGGCACAGTAGGGGGCGTGCAGGAGGCAGCCATCAATGATTCTCATCATTGATATTTCTCTCCCTTTCTCTCCCTTCCTCTCTGAAATCAATTTTAAAAATCTTATTTAATATCTATATATATACATATATATAGATATATAGATATAGATATAGATATATACAGATAAATGGATACACAAATTGTGGCATAGGCAATGGAGTACTATTCAGCCACAGAAGGAATGGAGTACTGATACTTGCTATAAGGTAGATGAACCCTGAAAACATTATGCTAAGTGAAATAAGCCAGACACAAAATGTCACATTTCATATGATTCCATTTATAGTAAATCGTCAGAAATAGATAAACCCATAGAGACAAGATGTAGATTGGTGGTTGCCAGGGGCCACGGGGAGGAGGAAATGGGGAGCGAATGCTTAATGTAAAGAGCTTTCTTTTGCAATGATGGAAATATTCTGGAACTACAATAGATCGATATGGTAGTTGAACAACACTGCGATTCTACTAAATGCCACTGAATTGTTCCTTTTAAAATAGTTAAAAAAATAAATAAAACCAGTGAACTCAGACCTCAAAACCATATTCTTGTCGTTAGAGTACTGTCCACTGGACTTGACACTTACCTTGCACACCATGGCCGTCTTTGCTCCAAGCCTGGCAGCTTGGACACACTGGTTGGCACCTTTCCCTCCAAAGCCAATAAAAAACTTATGTCCATGGATGGTCTCTCCGGTTTTTGGCAAACGAGGAGTAAGGCTGTCATAATTGAAAAGGAGAAGGAAAAAAACAAACACACACACATCGTTAACTGCAACCCATTTTGAGTTCTTCAGGAGAGAGAGGGAAGGTTGTGTGGTGGAGCTCTAAGCAGACAGACCCGCAGGCAGAAGCCGGGCAGGGAGAGACCCTCTCCTTCCAGACAGCCTTCAGTAGTTCGCATCACTTTTGAGACGGTGTCTGCCTGACAGGATTCCTCTGCCCTGCGGCCCTGTGCTACCATGGCCCTACTTCTTGGCCCTACTTCGTATGACAGCTCCTGGGATCTGGACTGCATCAGGGCCATTCAGGGGAGCCTGCTTTCCCCTTGGGGAACTCTCAGGACTTCGGGAGAAGAGTGAAGCTGCAATGCCAGGCGCTAAAGAATCTGATTTGTTTCCTTGAGGGTGGGATAGGAGTGGGGTATTTGGATGGCAGTTCAGGGTTTCATCCTAATCCATCCTTTATATTACCCATTTCATGCACTGACTAAAAGAGAGCATCTATTTACAAAAAAAAGGTGGATGAGAGCTAAGTTTAGTTTTATATTTTACTACAGAAAAATCCAAACACATAAAACTAGAGAAAATAGTATATTGATTTTTTCCTATACCCATCACCCAGATTCAGCTATTGTCAACTGTTAGCCAATGTTGTTTCAGTCTACATCTTCATCAACTTCAAGAACTAAGGATCTTTACTAACAGGTTATTATTGACACATTATGCCTAAGGTAGTATTAAATGAGGCAAAAAATAGAAGTAAAAGTTTTGCTCCAGTGTATAATTTTCCTAACAGTACAGGAGGAAGATGTGAGGAAACCAAGTCTTTGAAGGACAGAAGACTTTAAGATGGAAAACGAGTTCTGGGTGGAGGGGCAAGTGAAGAAGACGGGCTCAGTGGCATGAGGACTGATTGGCCACAAAGAAGCAGGCCAAAGGCCAGATGGAGCAGATGGAGAGGTGGTAGGTCTGATCAAAAAGGTTAATTAGCTCTAGGTGGGAAAGAAAGGCCAAGAGAGAAGTTTACATGGTAAGTCAACTGAGAACCTACTTTGTTTTAGCAGATTAGAAATTCACGTTCATTTTCAATAGAGACTGTGATCTATCCAGCATCTTTTCGTATTAGAGTAACGAAACAATGCCAGTTCCTACAGGTCACTGACAGCCTGTTTGCAGTGGGATGCCATATGACTATTGACAGGAACGCATGATTGTGTCAATAAAGACCAAGTTCAACCTGGAACCTCCTTTATGTAGCTCTGAAAGTCTCAAATTGAGCTAAGCCACTGTCAAATATGGTTATTTGAGATTCAAGAGATTCATCAATAATTTGAAAACATCCCACTCCACTCCTCCCCTTTTCAAGTCTATTTTTATCTCGGATTCTAAATGCATTTATAGTACTGATGAAAAAAATATACATCTACAAGGTTCACTTCTGAAAGAGGTACTCAATCAAGGGAAAAATGGTTTTAATGTAATGTTATTATCCTGTCATTTAATTTAGCAATGACAAGTGATGATGAGATTTTGATTTGCATCAGAAATCTTAAACATTTTAGGATTCTGTTATGAACAGGCAATGATGAGTAATCTGTGTGATTGAGTAACTATGTGAATTCTTGGCTTATTGATGCTGCTATAAACAACATTCATAACAACTTTAAAGAGAAAAACTATCCAATGTGGCTAAAAAACAGGCCAAATAATTTAATTAGTAAGACTGTCACTAAAGAAACGTAGGACTTCCACTATATTTATACTTATATCTGGGTCACACGCCACTGGTTTGAATCAAGTGTATTATCAAACCATGAAAAATATACCACCATATTATTATTGGGATATACATGTACTAGTATGTGGGGGAGAAGTGAAATCGGGTTTGATGTGGGAGCAGATGGCTGGGATTTAGACAATGTATAGTAAGACAAGCACTGTACTAATGCAGCCATTACTGGAATTCCTCACTCCTTTGGAGATCTTTTTTTTTAATCTTCTGCTTCTTTGCCCTATTCTTCTCCTCTCCTCTCCTCTCCTCTCCTCTCCTCTCCTCTCCTCTCCTCTCCTCTCCGGAGATCTTTTTTTTTTTTTTTTTTTTTTTTTTTTTTTATCTTCTGCTTCTTTGCCCTATTCTTCTCCTCTCCTCTCCTCTCCTCTCCTCTCCTCTCCTCTCCTCCCCTCCCCTCCTCTTCTCTCTTCCCTTCCCTTCCCCTTTCCCTTCCCTTCCCCCTTCCCTTCCCCTTTCCCTTCCCTTCCCTTCCTTTCCCCCTTCCCTTCCCTTTTCCCTTCCCTTCCCTTCCCTCTTCCCTTCCCTTCCCTTCCCTTTTCCCTTCCCATTCCCTTCCCTTCCATTTTCCCTTCCCTTTCCCTTTCCTTCCATTTTCCCTTCTCTTCCCTTCCCTCTTCCCTTCCCTCTTCCCTTCCCTTTTCCCTTCCCTTCCCTTCCCTCTTCCCTTCCCCTCCCCTCCCTTCCCTTCCCTTCCCTTCCCTTCCCCTTCCCCTTCCTCCCCTCCCTCTCTTCCCCTCCCCTCCCCTCCCCTCCTCTTCCCTTCCCTCTCTTCCTCTCTTCCCTCCCCTCCCCTCCTCTTCCCTTCCTTCTCTTCTCTCTTCTCTTCTCTTCTCTTCTCTTCTCTTCTCTTCTCTTCTCTTCTCTTCTCTTCTCTTCTCTTCTCTTCTCTTCTCTTCTCTTCTCTTCTCTTCTCTTCTCTTCTCTCTTCTCTCAATTGTAGACCTTCTCTGCCTGAGGACAGTCTGTCATGTTCCCCACTTTATTTCTGTTGCCTGTCACTTAGTATGGGGTTAACATATTTGCTGATTGAACAGATGTTTATGGCTCACCTTCTCTCAGGGTTAGCAGAATAGGCCACCCCAAAATATGACTGTAGGAGTTCGGGACACACTACCCCAAAACATGCCACTTCGGTATATTACTCTGAGCTGTAGGCACTTGAGAAACAGCGGATTCAGGGAAGAGGCTTTCCCTGAACTTTGCTTCTCTGCCTATCGCAAACATACCTTCCATGTCTTCCCAGGGCCCATTCACCTTTCTTAAAAGTTCTACCTCTCCTCCCTTTACCCTATTAAAATGTTACTTAGCACTCAATTTGAAGTCAACTTGAGGAGTTACTCATTTTTTTTTTCTTCTGGCTTTCCCCCATGTATATAATGAGGGATACAATTTTAATAAACTTCTGTTTGTTTTTCTCTTGTTGATCTTTTATTACAGGGGTCTCGGTCAAAGAACTCAGAAGGGTGGAGGGAAAATTATCTTTCCTCTCCTACATCTCTTTTCTATGTCTCCTTTGTGTAATCTCCATTCTTCTGAACTGAGGCTGTGGAGGTGTGGAAGGAGGAGGACATTGGCAGGGATGACCAGTTGTCTGGAAATGACAATTCCATGTTTTACCAGACCATGCCCACTGCATTCCCACTGCATTCCCAGTATCAGCAGCATTCCTCTTCTACAAGCAGGAACTCTGTCATTCCTCCACTAATGCATTAATTCCAAAATGTAAAGTCAGTGTTTTCCAATGTACTTCCTATAGGGCATAATCAACTTGCTGACGATGAGGAAAAAAATCTAACCACGAAGCAAGTAATACAGGAGTTGAAAAAACATGTCACAGGACAAGATTAGTATGACCCAATGCATATTTTTAAAAGGAAAAAAAGGTTTATGTATATGGTCTCAGATGATATGTGAATGCATAGACAATGAAATGTTAATGACAGGGTGGGGGTAGGGAGCAAGAGTTCATGTTTTACTTTCTATCCTCATACGCAGAAGTGCATGCAACGAAAATAGAGTTGTGTGTTATGGGAGACCACTTCTCTCTACCTCAGAGTCATCTGTTGTCCCTGCAACGTCTTCTAGCCACTGGCTCTTCCTAGGCTCCAGCTGGCTCCTTGCAGGTGCCAGCCACCTAACAGTGCCACTCTGTCCACTCCTGGGTTTCTGGTTCGTCAGGCTGTCCTGCAGGATTGAGCAACTAGTTGTGCATAGGGGTGGCCAACTTGAACATGGCAGGCATTTTTGTAAGGCTCTTCCCACTCCTCTGCTTCGCTTGCCCTGTCCCTGGCTCTTGCTCCTTGGGTCAGAGTCCTGAATAGGGTATTTGTGTTTAAGCGTTTGTCTTATGCTCTGCTTTCTGTTAAACCCACATTAACACTTCTTATTCCTTGTTTATTATTTTTTTTAATAGAAGTAAATAGAGTAGAGAGCAACTAAAAAAGTTAGTTACAAAAAAAAGGCAGAAGAATTTCCGAATTATAAATCCTAATTAACTTTAAATTAGGTTTCCTATCTTTTTTCTTTAATGAAATCATGAAATTCAGTTCAGGTTCAAGGGAGGAACTGCACAAAGTCTCATCCCCCGGAGGAAAGCATTACTATGATCCACCTCAATTCAGACATGAGGCTTAGCAAGGTGCCAAAGACAGACAAGTTACAGTGCTCAAAGAAAAAAAAAGAAAAAAAAAAAGGAAGCAGTACTGGGAGAAATAGACTGTTGCTAGCGTCTAATAATTTAACATAGTATAAATTTCTGAATGGGGGAAAAAACTCAAACAGAGAAAACCAGTCATAAGAATTATACTTGAATTTAAGACATATTCGTAGCTTTAAAAAGGTCATGGCATTTTAAAGTTGGACAGAAGGAAACGTCGATAACTGTTCCTGGATGGCCCTCTGATTTCCTGGGCCACAAGAGGCCACGGGGTGAGCCTGCTTGTGCAAGGCAGAGGCCCTGAGCCTCTTACTGACTCTATTACCTTTGACAGCTTTCCCTCTTTCAACCAGCTTCTTCTCTTGCAAAACAGGTTTAATAATACTTGTCAACTCCTTAAATGCCCGGGTTTTGTGCTCTGAGTTATTTCACTGACAGGTGTTAGCAGAACAACTTATCATTGCTTTTAACTTCTTGACAATGATGTGCTTGTTACAGATTCTCAGAGATGATTCACAGCAGAGAGAGGAATGACCTGGTGAAATAGAGAGAAGGGTTTCGACCAAAAAGGTCACACTAATAACTGGCTCAGCCCAGAGTCCGGGACTGCGCTGCCTTTTGGCTTTTGTATTCCATCCTTTCTTCTTCTGGCTACAAGCTTCTGACACACCGTACAACTAGAATAAGGATCGTTCTATTAGTTATGGCCCAATTAAAATTCATTACGCTCACTTATTATTCCTGCTGCCTGTGCTCTCCAACTCTACCCGTTCTTCTCAGCGTTTGGGTATGCCACGTTTACGAGGAGGAGAGTACTTTGCAAACCAAGTTAGTACCTATTTCTACCTCCGTAAAAACAACTTAGCCGCCCAACAAAAACTCCAGTCCGTGCTTCCTAACCCAACATTTGCAGACATATATATGATTTAGTCAAGGAAATGAAACACGAATTATATTTGAAACAGTTCTTCACTGAATTTTGATTTCTAGCCAATCTTTTCCTAGCTAACAAGTCATTTGTCTGAGGATGTAGCTACTCTTGAATTTATAGAATAGAAAAAACAGTCCTCTAGCCAGAAGTGGCCAGCCTTTCAGAACGCCATACCCTTGACCCTTATTTATCTGAATTCTGCTTATGTGTGAATAACTGGGCTAAGCACTTAGGAGAGCCAACAAGAGGAGCATGTTATGTATGGTCTTCTCCCGGGTGTGTTCTTACATGGCTTCCTTTCATTCACATCTCTGCTCAAATGTTACCTCCTCAGAGAGACCTTCCCAGCCACCTTATAAGAAATACCCCCTTTCTATTTTATCCTTTTCAACTTTTTAAAAATTGATTCCAGAGCGAAAGGGAGAGGGGGGAGATAGAAAATTAATGACGAGAGAATCATTGATTGGCTGCCTCCAGCATGCACTCCACTGGGGATTGAGCCTGCAACCCGGGCATGTGCCCTGACCTGAATCAAACCATGACCTCCTGATTCCTATTTTAATTTCTGTTAAGTATTTATTCATCCATTCTGGCAAGAAACACCAGGTTTTCTGGATCAGAGACAGCCTTTTACTCATAATTGCATTAATTAGTTCTCTGTCCCAATCCCAACAGATAACACGATGAGAGAAACCTCAAAATAATGAATTTTTGGAGTTTATATAGGACAGTTGACACAGCTGTTGCTCCTCTTTTCCTCTGGGAAGGGGGTAACAGGAGGAGGGAAGGAGGCCAAAGAGGACCTTTGCTTTATAATATAACAAAATCTTCTCAGGAGGTGGGGCAGGTCTCTCGGTTTACAACCTCTAGAATGTAAATAAATGCGTCCAGGGGAGAAATCTCTAAATCTTCCATGTTTCTAACTTCTGAGGTTTGTAAATTAGGTGGTTATGGATCACATTTTCCTAATTTTTTTGCATGACTATTTTTTAAATAGATGCTGAATATTGAAAATATTACATTGTTGAGCGTCTTAAGTTGTTTTTCTAAAAGGTAGATTTTTTTTTTTTTTTTCAGGCAGTTAAGTAATTTGAGGATCTGTCCCATTCTTCTGAGGATAGTTTTGAGATTAGTTAAGGTGAGTTTGGGGTAGCCTTTAGGGCAAGTTCACCCTTCTACTAAGTTGTGGATATTCTGGGATTTTTATGGAATGCTCTCTGGCTAGTTAGAACTCAACACCTCCCATTCCTGTATGATTTCTGGGAAATGTCCAGCTTAGAACTCTTCAGTAGTTGCCCAGCTTTGTGGACTTTCTCTCTCTCTATTTCCATTTAGTATTTAGTAACAGACTTATGGGGACTCCTTTGCAGATTTCTGGACCTTCCCCTGATTAGCTCCTTCTTCTCCAGTACACGTTCCCATAAATTCTAGCCACCTGAGTCTCCCTAAGTTATAAATGTACTTTCCTCATCTCACTGATACTGCCATGATTTCCTCGAGTTCCTCCTCTCTGGGCCAATAATGAGCCTCCTGGAATCACCTTATTTGTTTTCATTCTCTTCTGGATAACACAACAGTAGTTCAATAGATGAAATGGCTGCTTCATATATTTTGTTTCATATTTATCCCATTTTCTAGTTATTTATGGTGGGAAGGTAGGTCTGGTACTAGTTACGCCAACATGGTAAGATTTAATATATTTTTTGAATGGTCTATACTGCAAAAGACACTTGTATGATAGTTGGGTAGATAGATGCCTAAATACATGATAAGTCATATGGTGAGGCGTGGCAGGGAAACTATAGTCCAAGGGGAAATGTAAACTTGTTATTAAACATGAATATGGTCAGAATAATGGGGACAATAAGTGCAAAATATTAAAGATATATTTAAAAATGAAAATATCAATAATGTCAACTAATTGTTTGAATATATATATATATTTACACCCAGCTGAGAAAAGTCCCAAGAAAAAATAGAAACTTGGAAGGAAGGTACAAAGGAGCTAATTTTGGAACTAGAAGCTTCAAAAGGAGAGGGTAGGAGAAATATGTGCATATGGGGGTTTAGGGAGTGAGGACTGGACAATTATAGGATGGCATATAAGGTATGTGGAAAAATCAGGATGCAGAAAAATGGAGCACAAAGGGAAATAGTGAGACTAAAGCATTTATTGAAGTTCTGATGAAAAAAAACTTTTAATTCATTGAAGACAAGCCAAGTAAGAAGCGACAACTACAAAATCGATATTTTATCTTCTGTTTTGCCAATTAAGTTTAGTAATTTTTAAATTCCAAAATGACTTCTGTCACCATGCTGTAATTATCTAGGCTTCTTCCTGCCATATGCTGGTGTAGGTTAAAGAAATACAAATGGAATTAATTTTATCCTAAGTAAAATAAAATTAGAAGGATAAATCAGCATACAAAAATGTTTCCTGGACCCAATTAATACAAATTTTAATTTATCTACTATTTTTGGGTTTTGGTGCTTATGCTTCTTTTGCATTCTCATCATCATGAATATCAAGAACTGATTACATTATATTTGAGCTTCACAGTACATTTGTTAAGATGTGCTAGTGTAAGCCTTATCATCTCTTGTTTTAGGTGAAAGTGAGAATTCAAAACAGTAATGGTTTTTCAAAATGCACGTATCTGTTAGGTTGTCTAACTTTAATTAGGTCTAACAGATTCCATTGCTATGGTCTTTTAAACTATACTATGCTACTTGGCTTTGGCAATTTTTTAAAATGATCTACCTTCTTAGCAACTTCCAAATATGCAATACAGTATTATTAACCATAGTCACTTGTGGTACAGTTCATCCCCATGACACTTACTGGAAGTTATAAAGTAGTACCTTCTGACCCCCTTTTACCTATTTTGCCCACCTTCCCACCACCTGTCTCTGACAACCACCAATCTGTTCTGTGTCAATGACCTCGTTTGTTTATTTATTTATTTAGAATTCTCACGTAAGTGAGATCATGTTATTAGTCTTTCTCTGACTTATTTCACTTAGCATAATGCCCTCAAAGTCCACCATGTTACTGCAAATGGCAAGATTTCCTTTTTATAATAATATTCCATTGTGTGTGTGTGCATCACATTTTCTTTATCCATTTATCTGTCCGCCCATCCGTCCACCCATTCATGGATGCTTAGGTTGTTTTCATATCTTGGTTATTGTGAGTAATGTTGCAATGAAAACAGGGGTGAAGGTATCTTTTTCAGTGAGTGTTTTTGTTTTCTTTGGATAAATACCCAGAGAGGAATTTCTGGAAATATGGCAGTTCCACTTTAATTTTTGGGGGAACCTCCATATTGTTTTCCACAATGGCTGTACCAATTTACATTCCCACCAACAGTGCACTGGGTTCTCTTCTCTCCACATCCTCACCAACACATTATATTTTGTCTTTTTGATAATCATTCTAACAGGTCTGCATAATACCACATTGTGGTTTTGATTTACATTCCTCTGATGATTACTGATGTTGAGCATCATTTCATGTATCCTTTGGCCATCTGTATATCTTCTTTGAAAAAATGTCTCTTCAGTTTTTCTGCCCATTTTTAAATCAAATTGTTTGCATTTTTTTTTGCTATTAAGTTGTATTAATTCTTTATCTATTTTGGATTTTGTCCTCTCAATTTTGACTGTAATGTTGGACAGCCAGTAGATATAACAGACAAATACTTAACATTATTAACATGAGCAAACTCTGTATTAAAAAGGACCTATATACTTCATTCCATTCCTCTGCTTCTTTTGGCCATGATATTAAGTGATGTTACAAGGGAGAGAGTGGCAGCCTCCACTAAATGTTATAATAGATTAGAGCTCATTCTTAAAATCTTATTAGTATTTCAAACCTCTTTTCATTGCCAATTCCCTATGCCTGGAAAGTTCTTTCCCTGTTTCTGTGCTGAGCTTATCCATAGACATCCTTTAAAATTCAACTCAGATGTTACTCCTCTGGGAGGAGTAATGGGAGGTGTGATGGGAGCATCACCTTCCCGATTGCAGGATTGCCTCCCGCCCCCGAGGGCTCCTGGATTGTGAGGGGGCATGTAACAGTGGGGTATCTGGGAGTCCTAATGTAACAGTGTGGGTGGTTGCCCTGCCTCTGCGTTCTAGCAATCTATGCATGTTTCTCTTATGGCTGTATCACATTCAGTTTTGTATCACTATGGCCTAAGACTGTGCCTATTCATATCATGTGCCCAATAAACATTTATTAAAATATATACTAGTAATACATTAATTGTGCCAGATACCATTTCCTGAGTGGTTATCATAAGATAAGTACTGCTCTAGGCACTTTATGACCACTAAATCACCTAATCCTTACAATCATCCCATGAAAAAATTGTTCTTATTTTGATCTACATTTCACAGATAAGGAGAATGAGAATTAGATTAAAAAACATACCTAAGTTCTCTCAGAAGAAGATGGCAGAGCCAGGTTGGTCTGACTCCAAAACCCACTAAAATATATTATTCACAAATGTCCTTAAAGCCCCTTGGACCCATCCATAGTTCATGTTTTTGTAACTTCTTGTGTAATTTCTGGTAGCTATGCTTCTGAACAGCATTGG